AATGTCAATGGCAGGGACTTCTCTGGTGGTCCAGTGGGTAAGACTTCTTTCTCCCAACGCAGGGGGCCCGGGTTCGATCCCTGCTCGGGGAGCTAGATCCCGCGTGCATGCCGCAACTACGAGTTTGCATGTCAAAACGAAGATCCCACACGCCGCAACTAAGACCCGGCGCAGCTAAAATAAATAAAATATTTTTTAAAAGTCAATGGCAGTTCAGGATCAAATTATCATAGTACTCATTTGGAATAACAAACACATAAAATAGACAATAAGGAAGAGTAATGAAAGGGCTTTGTCCTGCACTGACTTGAAATACATGATAAAGCTAAAGTAGTTAAACAGTGTGGTACTACTGCAGAAATAGACTTGTGGGAAACAAGAGAAAGTTTAGAAGTACAACCACGCGTACTGAGAGACTGTGTTTACGAGCAGACAGTGTGCAGACCATATATAAATACCTATCCCCTGCAGCCACCAGCCCAGGACCCAATCACCATCTCTGCAGCAATCAGCCCCAAACAGCCAGGACTTGATCAGTAACTAACAGCTTCCCTAATTTTGCCACCATTTCCAATTTAGAACCAAATTAGAGAAAGCTGAATATGTTCCCCTAACCAAGCACATAGGACACCCTGCTTCCAGCTGGCCGCCCCCAGCTTCCCCAGGCCCACAACCTCCCTCAGGGAAGCCCTGAAGCCTCACCTTTCCCAGTAGAAGGCTCTCCCTCCCCTCTGCCTGTCTTTGAGATCCGGCCAACTCCCTTGCTATATATAGCAAGCTCTGACTAAACAGCCTTTGCTTTTTTCATTTAGGAGGTCTTTATTTCCACAATATCTACTGTGGCGGGGTGCCCTCAAGTTCAAGTGAGTGGAAGGAGAACAGAGTATTCAACAATATTCAACATTTGAGGGGGGAAAAAAAAAGAGATTTGTACTGCATACGCACATCAAACTAAATATCAGACGCATCAAAGTACCAAATGTAAAAAAGGAAGTTGTGAAAAGAGTAGAAGAAAACGTGGATTGCTTTGCACCACAATCCCATGAGGAAGGCGAGACTGGTTGATGCGTATTATCATTCACAGATGAGACGCTCAGGTCCAGCAAGGCGAGCGGCAGAGCCAGGATCTGAACCCAAGCTTGACTCCTAGCTCCCAGGGTAAATGGGACGAGTGGGGCGGGAATGGGAATGACTAAGAGACACTCCCTTTCCAGAACGTGGTAAGGCTCCCGGCAAGCTGCCAGCAGTCAGCCGGATCTGGACAGACAGTGCCTGGTGGTGGGGACCTTCCTGGGAGGCGGCGTGGCCAGGGCCGAGGCCCCGCTGGAAGCGGACTGCTCACCTGTTGGGCTTGTAGCCCATGCTGTCCATCAAGCACGCCTGGTCCCTGTCTCGCGGGAAGCCGTGCAGCACCCACCCTCTCTCAAGGCAGTCCTGCTGGTCCAGGCGCTGCCTCAGCACCTTCATGATGATGTAGTCGGGGACTGCAGAGAAAGGAAGACAGCTGGTCACTCTGCCGCCCTGGCCACCTCCCCTGACCCAACAGGAAGCTGAGGGAGCCTCCGCGGCCATGGCTCACGGCCTTCCTAACTTTATTTGACCCTGATTTGAACAGGTGAAGAGACCGTTTTAGGTGGACAGGGCTGTGGGCGCCCGTTTCCCAGGACGCTCCGAGGTCCTAGCAATGGGAGGAACGTGGCCACCCAAGAAGGGGAAAAAAGCACTGGGTGACCTTGACCTTGACCTTGAGCTTTCCCTGACTTTGACAGGATATATGCCCATGGGCCTCCAGGGTAGCTCCCAGCCCTCCAGTGATATGTGGGCATCCCTCCCCGATCCCCCTGAAACCGCAGGGATCCAGTTTTTGCAGCAAAAAGACTTTTCGCGGAAGCACACCGATCCCCAATGGAAGGTTTGGTTTTCCTCCAGTGGGATGGCCGTGGTGCCCCCCAGGCTCTCTGCTAATTCAGGATACACAAGCGACTCCCTTCTTTCCCCCTTCTCCCAGTTCTCACCTCCTTGATGTTCAGAATCAAATCTCTCTCAAGAATCACAGCTTTAGTTATAACCAGAGACTGAAATCAAGTCTCAGGGAGATGTTGAGAAGCCTGTTGTTTACATTACTGCAATTGACATTTTCCTGAAAGTTTTACCTCTCTTCTCAGATTCATTAAAAGGCCTGTGTTGCTAATGTACTGCGTTCTAGCAATTTGCACTGCATTTTCTGCACTTTGCATTCATTTTTCCAGAGATACTTGGTAAATATTACCATCGTTTGCTATGAATGTGCCCCCCCCCACCCCACCCCGCAACGAGCTGGTTTCCTGGAGCTGCAGTGACAGGGCGGCTCAGCAGCTTTTCTGGAGATGCCCGGTTCCCTCCATGAGTCAGCCAAGTGGCCCTAACGCACATGACTGAAACTTCCCCAAAGGCCCCCGGCTGACAGCCAGGTGAACTTGGCGGTGAGAGATTCAGAAAAATTACTGCTTTCCTCCACGGCTGTGACATGCCGGGTTACTGCCCTGTTGCCAAAGCAGCATAAACCTCATCTAAGTCATCTGCAGTTCCCTGATTTTGTTCTTTCTTACATCTTTCAGCCTTTCTTCCCCAGTCCCTAGGAAAGAGCGGGAAAGGGATTTTGCTCTAATGAGAAGATTTGGCTGAGACAGATCAGTGAGAAGTTGATACAGCTAATCCCATCCCTTCCCTGCTTAAACCTGCCATGGCTCCCCCATGCTCTGGGGATAAGAGCAGTACCCTTCCCTGTGGTCAACAGGGCCCTGCAGGACCCAAGTCCTGCCTCCCCTCCCTGTGAATCTCCCCCAGCGCTTCACCTCCCCTTGAATGTGCCGGTCGCTCCATCCAGAGCATCCTTCCCCCATGCCTTGCCCGGGGCCAGGCCCCAGAGGAGTGTCTGCTCCCTGGACGGCCCGTTGCTGGGGTAGCACCGGCCCTTCTTAACCTTCACTTACCACCCCTGTTATTAACTCTCCGGCTAATTCTTTGTGTGATGCTGCCTCTCACGAGGACAGAGGACCGTGCCCACCTCGCTTTTCCATGACTAACACAGTGCCTGGCACATAGGAGGTATGGAGTAAATAGACAGGAGCCCTCCCTTTTCAAAGCTTCACTGCGACTAAACAAAGATGTTAAAACCAACTCGACCAGGCTTTGGGGAGCTCAGAAGAAGAGAGGAAGGGAAGGAGCTGGGCTGGAGGCACGCACGAACGCGGGGGCTGGTCTCAGCCCTGCCCTTAGGTGCCAACCGACCTCCACTCGGTCAGGCAGGCTCTCCCAGTCTCAGTTTCCTCAACCGCCAAAGAGGATGCCGGGACCTCTCACCACAGGATCAACATGACGCACAGCTCCAGGCATGTGGGAGATGGCACTCAGAGATGGGGGCTGGTACTTTTCAGTTTGGGAGATGTATGTCAGGAAACAATGCTTCATCAATATGCTCATGTTTTCCCCAAGGTCAAGGTCACGGTGTGCTGAGTTGGCGCCTGGGATAAAGGATGGTTGACTTCAAACAAGTCTGGGCAGTTAAAGATGGAGAGACTTAGGGCTTCCCTGGTGGCACAGTGGTTGAGAGTCCGCCTGCCGATGCAGGGGACGCGGGTTCGTGCCCCGGTCCGGGAGGATCCCACGTGCCGCGGAGCGGCTGGGCCCGTGAGCCATGGCCGCTGAGCCTGCGCGTCCGGAGCCTGTGCTCCGCAACGGGAGAGGCCACAGCGGTGAGAGGCCCGGGTACCGCGAAAAAAAAAAAAAAAAAAAAAATGGAGAGACTTAGGGACCTCTGTCCTGAGTCCTCTGTTCATATTCCGGTGGTAGTAAACCTACCGATCCCCCTGCCTCCATTCCCCAGGGGCTGTTTATATTCAGGGCAGCGGCGGGGAGGACAGAGGGGCAGCTGTCCCAGCTTCGGCTCGTCCACCCCGTGCCCCCCTTCCTGCGCACGCAGGGCGCACCGGCTCCCACCAGCGGCCCCTGTGAGGAATCAGGGTGTGGGGAGCCAGCACTAAGGCTACTGTGTGAATAAATAATGGGTCTTTTCTCTGATCCAGAAACCTCATGTTTTCTGTCAAGAGAAATACAGATTAAAGACAATGTGTGTTAAGAATCTGCCATAGAGCTTTCCAATCTAGGTCTACCCCCATATATGTACAGATATTCTCAGTGAAATAGTAACTAATACAAAATCAAGCCTATCCCAGGGATCTGTCCAATGGAGCGTTATGGAGCATCTGTGCTGTGTCCAGGGACAAGGGCTTGACGCTGCCACACACAGCAAACAAGAAGCCAAGGGCCCTGCCCTCCTGAGTCTGGCATTCTAGCCAGCAAGACAGACAATACATAGATAAATACTCATTTCAGAGACTCATAAATACTATGAAGAAAGCAAACCAAATGATGGGATGCTGCTGGTTTGACTGGGTCCAGGATGGTCTCTGAGGTCACAACCGGCCGAGATCTGGACGGTAAGTCCAGCCTCGTGAGATCTGGGAAGGATTTTCGGGGTGGCACTGGCAAAGGCCCTGAGGCTGGAATGACCTTGGCGCATGGAAGGGCTGGAGAAAGGGCCAGTGTGGCTGGAGCAGAGTGATCTCTGCGGAGTGGGGGTGGAGAGGCCCTGCCAGGTCTTCAGGAAGGAAGGGGATCTGGCCACCCCCGGGCCATCTTGGGAATGACCATGCACTGGCCCTTGGTGCATATTTATTGAATGAACACATGGGGGTTGATCTCAGGATCCTGAGCTAGTACGTCCCGGAACGTGCACTTTGCCACGTCTGCACAGGGACTGCTTATTTTGTGGGATCAGCCAGTGGAGTCTCCAGTTGGGGTCCCCAGGTCCCATGGATGTGGCTAGTGAAGAACACTTTACCTCCTATAAAGTCTGCAAAGAGCTTGGGCTGAGGACCCCTGAGTGCAAACCAGCTGTGAACAGCTCCAGCTTTCTAAATTTCTAAAGGGAAACCAAAAAAATTTTTTTAAAAAGTAATTCCCTGGTGGTCCAGTGGTTAGGACACGGTGCTTTCACTGCGGTGGCCCAGGTTCAATCCCTGGTCGGGGAACTAAGATCTTGCAAGCTGCGTGGCGCAGCCAAAGAAAACAATAATAATAATAAAAGGAAAGAAACCATCTTTTGCTGACCCTACAAGCAGAGCGCCCTCAAGTCCTTGGGCACCCTGAGCAGCTGAAGGGCACCGCAAGCCTCCAGCGACACCCCGTTAGAGAGAGGCCGGCTGTGGCAGAAAGAGCTCTCTGCATCCCTCTCCCAGTCCCAGTCTGTGTCAGCAGACGGGGAAGGTGGGTGGGCTGAGCTCTAAGTTGGGGGCTGCAGGAAGATTTGTAAATACTGCTGCTTCTATGAGAGTTCCTTAGAATAAAACCCAGAAAAACTTAGCTCTTAGCTCCCCTGGGTTCCTTTCTTCGAGCAAGTGTGAGCAGAGAGCCCAGTGGTCTGGCCGTGGGACCTCCCTGACCCTCAGAGTCCTCCTCTGGGACACCTGCCTCGCTGGCTGTTATGGGGCCTGGAGACAACTCATGGGAGCTGCCAGATCAGAGCTCTTCTGAAGGGGTGGGTCCTCGTTGCTGTGCGCGCGCTTTCTCTAGTTGTGGCGAGCGGGGGCTACTCTTAGTCGCGGTGCGTGGGTTTCTCACTGCGGTGGCTTCCCTTGTTGCGGAGCACAGGCTCTAGGCGCGCGGGCTTCAGTAGTTGTGGCACTCAGGCTCAGTAGTTGTGGTGCATGGGCTTAGTAGTTGTGTCGCGCAGGCTCTAAGGTACGCAGGCTTCAGTGGTTGTGGCGCATGGGCTTAGTTGTTCCACGGCATGTGGGATCTTCCCGGACCAGGGATCGAACCTATGTCCCCCGCGTTGGCAGGCGTATTCTTAACCACTGCACCACCAGGGAAGCCCCCAGAGTCCTTTTTCTCTTTGAGTTCCTTTTTTCTTTCTTTTTTAAAAAAAATATTTATTTATTTATTTATTTTTGACTGCGCTGGGTCTTTGTTGCTGTGCGCGGGCTTTCTCTAGTTGCGGCGAGCGGGGGCTACTCTTCGTTGCGGTGCGCGGGCTTCTCATTGCGGTGGCGTCTCTTGAGGAGCACGGGCTCTAGGCGCGCGGGCTTCAGTAGTTGCCGCACGCAGCCTCAGTAGCTGTGGCGCACCGGCTTAGGTGCTCTGTGCCACGTGGGATCTTCCCGGACGAGGGCTCGAAGCCGTGTCCCCTGCATTAGCAGGCGGATTCTTAACCACTGCGCCACCAGGGAAGTCCCTGTGTGCGTATAGTTTTAATTCCTCCTAAAAGTTTACCCAGATTCCCATCAGATGGCTACGATGAAGCCACTGGCAAGAAAATGGGACCTTTAAATTACAGACATGAAGTCCAACATCTGAGCTTGAATCTGCCTTTGGGAGAAACGGGCTTGCCCTTGGGAGAGGAGGTCACTGGGTAATTAGTTTGCTGACCAGTGATACTCCAGGCCCATTAAGGCCTCAGTTGTTTGGTCGTGAGAATGGCATTGGGCCAATAATTTGTTTTCTTCAATAGTCAGTGCTGTTTGGAAAGCAAGCTGCACTCCAGGAGGGATGTCTGAGCCACTGAGCTTCTAGGGGCAACAGCCGGCTGCTCGAGCAGCTCGGAGCCTTGGCGATTCAGAGAGGGAAAGACCTGGTAGGTCATCCCTTTGACCACTCCCCTCATTTCAAAGTTGAGAAACCAAGTCCCAAAAAGATTGTGCCTCAGGTGACCCACCCAAGCCAGTTTCTCAGCCTGGAAGAAATCTGACTTAAGGTCAAGAAATCTGACCAGATAGAAACACAAAGAGACTTTTTGGTTTGGGGTGGGTTTTTTTTTCCCTATTAAGTTGGCAAAGATTTCTAGAGGGAACTTCCCAACTGGCATCAAAAGTTAAAATGTACATGCCTTTTGGCCCATCAATCACGTTCCTAAGAATTTACACCTAAGATACAACAGCACATACGACCAAAGATGTGCACATAAAGATGTCCATTTCAGTGCTGTTTATAATAGTGACAATCGGAAACGATTTTAAATGTCCGTCAGTAGAGGACAGCTTAAATAAAGGATGCACATCTATGCAATGTGATATTAGGTAAACTTTAAAAACTCATTTATATTTATGTTGACTCGGAAAGAGGGCTCGGACAGTACATCAAATGGAAAAAAGTAAACGGTTTGTACAATACCGTCTAATTTAAATGTATATTGACATACATATACACACACGCACATATACACACACTACACATGCACGGGGGAGAGAGGAGGGCCCCACTGATGCCCCACGAGTGACAGACGGTCCCTCGGGGGCTCAGGGTCCTGGAGTTGAGAGACAATAACACAAGTCAACACATCCTGGCTGGAAAGGCCTAAGGACATGGGAGGCGTGGCAGTGCTGAGCGCTTTGGAGGAGGGCAAGGTCACATTTCCGGAGGACCGGGGAAGGAGATGGATACTCACACGGACTCCAGCTTCGAGCCCAAACCAAAAAAGCCCCTCTCTTCAGGCTCTCAAATTAGCCCTTCTCCTCAGAGGGCCGTACCACAATTGTGAATCAATCATTATTGGTGCAGTATTTGTTTAATGCCTACATTCCCATCCTCACCCCCCTCTGGAGAAAGCAGGGACCCCTGTCAAGGTGGCTCGTTGCTACACCCGTGCATTTGGCATTGTGTCCCACACATGGCAGGCACGTAATAAACACACTTTGAATGAATGAATGAATGAATGCATAGTACCAATTCCTGCAAACCTGGACTGTTCTCCCGAGCTCTGAGTCAAGTCCTGTGGCAATGGGAAACAGCCCTTCCCCCAGGGTTCCCTTCATCCACGCCACAGCCCACCCATGAATTAAATATGCAGTCAAGAGAAGACGTGTTGACGTCTGGGGTTTGTTTCAAAATACTCCTGATGGAGCGG